TCGGGATCGATCCCGATGATCCCACATGGATTGGGATCGATCCCAGTGAGTCCCACATGGATCGGGATCGATCCCGATGATCCCACATGGATTGGGATCGATCCCGATGATCCCACATGGATCGGGATCGATCCCAGTGAGTCCCACATGGATCGGGATCGATCCCGATGATCCCACACGGATCGGGATCGATCCCAGTGAGTCCCACATGGACTGGGATCGATCCCATCCATCCCAACACCTCCATGTTGGGATTCTGTCCGTCCCAGTTGGGATCCCGTCCATCCCCACATCTCCAGATGCGGATTCCGCCCACGCCCCGTTCCCGGTGCGTATCCCGTTCCCGTTCCCGGTGCAGATCCCACCCATGCCCTGTTCCCGGTGTGGATCCCGCCCCATTCCCGGTGTGGATCCCGCCCCATTCCCGGTGTGGATCCCGCCCGTTCCCAGTGTGGATCCTGCCCGTTCCCGGTGTGGATCCCGCCCGTTATTCCCGCTGTTCCCGTTGCGTCTCCTGTTCCCGTTCCCGTTGTTCCCGTTGTGTCTCCCGTTCCCGTTATTCCCGCTGTTCCCGGCATTCCCGGCGCGGTGCCCGGACCTTGGCGGCGGCCACGGCGCGGGGCGGCAGGTCGATGCGGGGGAAGGAGTACATGGCGCCCTGCACGGGGTTGCAGCGGATGCCGGGCGTGCGGTTGAACATCTCCTGCGTCAGCCGCGCCCGCTCCGCCAGCGCGCTCAGCACCGCCTCCTTCTCCTGCCGGGACACGCCGGGATTCTGAGCCACGGCTGGCCCCGTATCCCATACCCCATCCCGCTATCCCATATCCCATCCCGTTATCCCATATCCCATCCCGTTATCCCATATCCCATTATCCCATATCCCATCCCGTTATCCCATCCTGTTATCCCATACCATTATCCCATATCCCATCCCCTTATCCCAATCCATATCCCATCCCATTACCCCATCCCACTATCCCATCCCATTATCCCATTATCCCATTGCCCCATTCCATTATCCCATTACCCCATTACCACATGATCTCATTATCCCATTATCCCCTTATCCCATTATCCCATTACCCCATCCCATCCCATTATCCCATTATCCCGTTATCCCATTATCCCGTTATCCCATTATCCCATTATCCCTTTATCCCATTATCTCTTTATCCCATATCCCCTCCCGCTATCCCATATCCCATCCTGCTATCCCATATCCCATCCCGCTATCCCATATCCCATCCTGCTATCCCATATCCCATCCCGCTATCCCAATCCACCATCCCACTATCCCATCCCCTTATCCCATATCCCATCCCGCTATCCTGTTATCCCATCCCGTTATCCCAATCCATTATCCCGTTATCCCATATCCCATCCCCTTATCCCATATCCCATCCCGTTATCCCAATCCATATCCCATCCCGTTACCTCGTTATCCCATTATCCCATCCCGTTATCCCACTATCCCATCCCGTTATCCCGTTATCCCATCCCATTATCCCATCCCATTATCCCCATGGATGGGAACCCATGGAGAGGCACCCATGGGTGGGAGATGTGGGTGGGATTGATGGATGAGGAATTGGGATGGGAATCCATGGATGGGAACCCATGGAGAAGGGTCCATGGATGGACACCCATGGATGGAGGTTTGCGATGGGAATCCAGGGATTGGAATCTATGGAGAGGCACCCATGGGTGGGATCCATGGATGGCACCCATGGATGGAGGTTTGGGATGGGATCCATGGATTGGAACCTATGGAGAGGCACCCATGGGTGGTATCTACAGATGGGAACCTATGGAGAAGGATCCATGGATGGAGACCCATGGGTGGGGGTTTGGGGTGGGAATTCATGGATGGGAACCAATGGAGAGGCACCCATGGGTGGGATCCATGGATGGGGGTTTGGGGTGGAATCCATGGATGGGAACCCATGGAGAGGCACCCATGGGTGGGAGATGTGCGTGGGATTTGTGGGTGGGATCCATGGATGGCACCCATGGATGGAGGTTTGGGATGGGATCCATGGATTGGAACCTATGGAGAGGCACCCATGGGTGGTATCTACAGATGGGAACCTATGGAGAAGGATCCATGGATGGAGACCCATGGGTGGGGGTTTGGGGTGGGAATTCATGGATGGGAACCAATGGAGAGGCACCCATGGGTGGGATCCATGGATGGGGGTTTGGGGTGGAATCCATGGATGGGAACCCATGGAGAGGCACCCATGGGTGGGAGATGTGCGTGGGATTTGTGGGTGGGATCCATGGATGGCACCCATGGATGGAGGTTTGGGATGGGATCCATGGATTGGAACCTATGGAGAGGCACCCATGGGTGGTATCTACAGATGGGAACCTATGGAGAAGGATCCATGGATGGAGACCCATGGGTGGGGGTTTGGGGTGGGAATCCATGGATTGGAACCCATGGAGAGGCACCCATGGATGGGATCCATGGACGAGACCCATGGGTGGGGGGTTTGGGTGGGAATCCATGGATGGGAACCAATGGAGAGGCACCCATGGGTGGGGATTTGGGATGGGATCCATGGATGGGAAGAAACGGAGAAGGAGCCATGCATGGGAATCTATGGATGGGAGCCATGGATGGGGGTTTGGGATGGGATCCATGGACGGGAACCCATGGAAAGGAACCTATGGAGGAGGACCCATGGGTGGGAGATGTGGGTGGGATTCACGGGTGGAATTTGTGGGTGAAGATCCATGGATGTCAATCTATGGGTGGGATCCATGGATGGCAACCTATGGAGCAGGACCCATGGATGGGAGCCATGACCCATCCCAGGGGATCCACGGGGTGGTGGCACCTCCATCCTGAATCCATGACCCCAGTCCCATGGGATCCACGGGGTGGTGGCACCTCCATCCCAATCCCAGGGGATCCACGGGGTGGTGGTGGCCTCTCCATCCCAATCCCATGGGATCCATGACCCCAGTCCCAGTCCCAGGGGATCCACGGGGTGGTGGCACCTCCATCATGAATCCATGCCCTCCATGACCCCCATCCCAATCCCATGGGATCCATGACCCCAATCCCAGTCCCAGGGGACCCACGGGGCGGTGGTGGCCTCTCCGTCCCGGCGTTCCCAGCACTCACTCTCCCATGTATCCCTTGGAGATGGAGTGGAAGGAGGCCAGCTCCACCGAGTCCGCGTAGGGCGGCCCCATCTCCATCAGCACCTTCTTGAACGAGTGGAAGGCCGAGCCCTCGGCGTACACGTTGTCCTGGTACACCTGCGGCGGGGACAATTCCCGCGGCGTCACCGGGAGCGCCGGGCGCTTCCCGGCAAACGGGGGGGGCACGCCCGGGCGGCCGCGGCCCCGCCCACCTCGTCGGCCATCAGGAAGAGCTTCTCCTCGTAGGCGAACTTGATGACGTCCTCAATGCACTGCCGGCTCTGCACCTGGCCTGGGCACACCACAGATATCCCATGGATCCTGTCCTACATGTTCCATGGATCCCAGCCCATGGATCCCACCCTAGATATCCCATGGATCCCAGCCCATGGATCCCACCCTAGATATTCCATGGATCCCACCCCATGGATCCTATCCTACATGTTCCATGCATCCCAGCCCATGGATCCCACTCTAGATATTCCATGGATCCCAGCCCAGATATCCCATGGATCCTATCCTAGATGTTCCATGGATCCCACCCCATGGATCCCACCCCATGGATCCTATCCTAGATGTTCCATGCATCCCACCCCATGGATCCCACCCCAGATATTCCATGGATCCCAGCCCAGATATCCCATGGATCCCAGCCCATGGATCCCACCACAGATACCCCATGGATCCCACCCCATGGATCCCACCCCATGGATCCCACCACAGATATTCTGTGGATTCCACCCCCCCCAGACCCCATGTATCCCACCCCACAGACCCCATGGATCCCATCCCACAGACCCCACCCCACAGACCCCCCAGACCCCATGTATCCCACCCCCCAGACCCCCGGTTACCGGTGGGGTTGCCGGGGTTGATGATGCAGAGCACGCGGGGGCAGCAGCGCTGGCGGCCCTCGGCCAGCGCCCGCCGCAGCTCGGCCACGTCCAGCGCCCAGCAGCGCTCCTCGGCCAGGTAATAGTTCACCTGCGCCGCCTCCAGCTCGGCCAGCGCCGCCGAGTACAGCGGGTACTGCGGGATCGGGATCAGCACCCCCGTGCGGGACGAGCCCGAGCCGCACACCAGCAGCTTCAGCATGTTCTGGGAGGGGACACACAGGGGACACTCAGGGGACACAGAGGGGACAGCCAGGGGACAGTCAGGGACTGACACGGGGGACAGTCACTGCCGAGTACAGCGGGCACTGCGGGATCGGGATCAGCACCCCCGTGCGCGTGGAGCCCGAGCCGCACATCAGCAGCTTCAGCATGTTCTGGGAGGGGACAGCGAGGGGACACTCAGGGGACACCGAGAGGGGACACCGAGAGGGGACAGTGAGAGGGTTCACCTGCGCCGCCTCCAGCTCGGCCAGCGCCGCCGAGTACAGCGGGTACTGCGGGATCGGGATCAGCACCCCCGTGCGGGACGAGCCCGAGCCGCACACCAGCAGCTTCAGCATGTTCTGGGAGGGGACACCGAGAGGGGGCAGTCAGGGGACACCGAGAGGGGACAGTCACCGCCGAGTACAGCGGGTACTGCGGGATCGGGATCAGCACCCCCGTGCGGGACGAGCCCGAGCCGCACACCAGCAGCTTCAGCATGTTCTGGGAGGGGACAGCGAGGGGACACTCAGGGGACACCGAGAGGGGACACCGAGAGGGGACAGTGAGAGGGGACAATCGGGGAGTGACACGGGGGACAGTCACTGCCGAGTACAGCGGGCACTGCGGGATCGGGATCAGCACCCCCGTGCGCGTGGAGCCCGAGCCGCACACCAGCAGCTTCAGCATGTTCTGGGGACAGCGACAGGCGACAATCAGGGGACACCGAGAGGGGACAGTGAGAGGGGACAGTGAGAGGGGACACAGAGGGGACAGTCACCGCCGAGTACAGCGGGTACTGCGGGATCGGGATCAGCACCCCCGTGCGGGATGAGCCCGAGCCGCACACCAGCAGCTTCAGCATGTTCTGGGGACACCGAGAGGCGACAATCAGGGGACAGCGAGGGGACAGTGAGAGGGGACAATCGGGGAACATTGAGAGGTCAGAGTGGGGTGGGAATCAGGACATGGAGGGGGCAGCGAGAGGGGACACCGAGAGGGGACAGTCAGGGGACAGTCACCGCGTGGGATGCGGGACAGCGAGGGGACAGTCAGGGGACATTGAGGGGTCAGAGTGGGGTGGGAATAGGGACACGGAGAAGGGACACAGAGGGGACAATCAGGGGACAGTGAGGTGACAATCAGGGGACAACCAGGGGATGGGGATTGGGACACGGAGGGGACAGAGAGGTGACAATCAGGGGACAGAGAGGGGACAATCAGGGGACAGAGAGGTGACAATCAGGGGACAAGGAGGGGACAGGTTCGGATGGAAATCATGGAGACACCACGGGGACATCGCGGGGACAGTGGGGTGACATTAGGGGACAGGTTGGGGTGGGAATCGGGACAATGAGGGGACAGCGAGGGGACAATGAGGGGACATGGGGACAATGAGGGGACAGGCTGGGGTGGCACTCAGAACATCGTGGTGACAACGAGGGGACACCGCAGCGACACGGCCGGGGCGGCCATGGGGACAACGAGGGGACAGCACGGCCAGCACGGGGGCACCGCGGCGACACCAACTCGGGGACAACTTGGCGACACACCAGGGGACAGCACAGCGCCACCGTCACCAGGGCAACCCCCCGGGCTCGGCGACAACGCGGCTGGCACTGTCCCCAGGGCAGCCGCGGGGACAGCGGGCACGCGCCACCCCCGGGCACAAATGTCCCTTTGTCCCCGCGCCGTGGGAACGGGCGGGGGTGGCACCGCGCCCGCTGTCCCCGCGGTGTCGCCGGGCCCGGGGACAGGGGGGGTGGCGGTGTCGCCGTACCACGATGGCGTCGCTGGCGCCCGTGGACAGGAAGATGTCGTCGGCGCTGGCGGGGACACCGTCGCGACGCTCGATGTAGCGCGCCACGTCCTCGCGCACGAGCTGCAGCCCCGGGCTGGCGCTGTACGAGCCTGGCGACAGCGACACGCGACAGCCCTGTCACCTCCTGTCACCTCCTGTCCCCTCCTGTCACCTCCTGTCACCTCCCCGGCACCTCCCCGGCACCTCCCCGGCACCTCCTGTCACCGCCCTGTCACCTCCCTGTCACCTCCCCGGCATCGCCGTGGCACCGCGATGTCAGCGTGGTGTCACCTCCCCCTGTCCCCTCCTGTCCCCTCCTGTCCCCTCCTGTCCCCGCATGTCCCCTCCTGTCCCCGCCTGTCACGTCCTGTCACCTCCTGTCACCTCCTGTCCCCTCCTGTCACCTCCTGTCCCCGCCCTGTCACCTCCCCGGCACCGCCCTGTCACCTCCCAATGTCACCTCCCTGTCACCTCCCTGTCACCTCCCCCTGTCCCCTCCTGTCACCTCCCTGTCCCCGCCTGTCACCTCGTGTCCCCACCCAGGGGTGGCAGCTCTGAGGTTTTGGGGACTTCGGGATTGGGGTGGGGACAGCGGCCAGGTGGGTGTGGGGACCTTGGGGACACTGGGGACACCTTGGGGACACTGAGGGGACATTGGGGACTTTGGGGACACTGGGGTTGACACCGGCCCCTGGTGGTGGCCCCGATGGCCCCGTGGTGGCCCTGGTGGCCCCGTGTCCCTGCTAGCCCCAGTGGCCCTGGTGGCCCTGTGCCCCGGTGTCCCCATGTCCCCGTGTCCCTGCTGGCCCCGGTGTCCCCAGTGGTGGCCCCAGTGGCCCCATGGTGGCCCTGGTGTCCCCGTGTCCCCAGTGGCCCTGGTGTCCCCATGGTGGCCCCGGTGTCCCGCTGGCCCCAGTGGCCCAGGTGGCCCTGGGTGGCCCAGGTGTCCCCGGTGTCCCCAGTGTCCCCGTGGTGTCCCCATGGCAGTGTCCCCGCGGTGTCCCCATGGCGGTGTCCCCATGGCGGTGTCCCCGGTGTCCCCGCGTACCTGGCGCAGGAAGGTGATTGGCTGCTGGCCCATGGCGTGCGCGTCACCGATGTTGGCCCTGATCACCTCGGTGAAGGGCTTGGGGACACCCTGGGGACACCGACAGGGATGGTGGGGACAGGGATGGGGACAGGGAGACAGGGACAGGGGGACAAAGGGGACTGGGGCAGGGGACACCAACAGGGACAGGGATGGGGACAGGGACAGGGAGACAGGGACAGGGGGACAAAGGGGACTGGGACAGGGGACATGGGGACAAGGGAGACGGGGACAAGGGGACAGGGGTGGGGACAGGGACAGGAGGACAGGGACAGGGAGACAGGGATGGGGACAAGGGACGGGAATTGGGGACAGGAACAAGGGGACAGAGACGGGGATGGGGACAAGGACGGGGATAGGGACAGAGATGGGGAGAGCAGGGACAGGGACAAGGGGACACAGATGGGGACAGGGGACAGGGACAAGGGGACAGGAACAAGGATGGGGACAAGGGACAGTGATGGGGACAAAGACGGTGGGGACAGGGATGAGGAGAGGGACACAGGACAGGGACAGGGATGGGGACAGGGATGGAGATGGGGACAAGGATGGGGACAGGGGGACATGGGGACAGGGGGACAGGGACAAGGGGACGGGGTGGGGACAGGGGACAGGGATGGAGATGGAGACAGGGATCAGGAGAGGGACAGGGATGGGGACAAGGGACAGGAATATGGACAAGGGGACAGGGATGGTGGGGACAGGGAAAAGGGGACAGCGGAGAGGACAACAGGAACAGGGGAGGGGACAGCAGGGACAGGGACAGGGACAGGGGAGGGGACAGGGATGGGACACAGACAGGAACAGGGACAGGGGAGGGGACAGCAGGGACAGGGACAGGGACAGGGGAGGGGACAGGGGACAGGAATAAGGACAAGGGGACAGGGACATCAGGTACAGGGAACAGGAATTGGGGTCAGGAATGGGGATGGGGACAGGGACAATAATGGGGACAGGGACAGGGACAAGGGACAGGGGTGGGGACAGGATTTGGGACAGCAGGAACAGGGACGGGGACAGGGAAGGGATGGCAGGGACAGGAATGGGGACAAAGGACAGGGACAGGGTCAGGAATGAGGCGGGGACAGGGACAATAATGGGGACAGGGACAAGGGACAGGGACAGGGGACAGGGACAAGGGGACAGGGACAGGGACAAGGGGCCAGAAGGCCGTCACGGCTCCCGGCCCGCCTGTCCCCACCCAGCGCCACCCCCGCTGTCACCCGGCTGCCACCGCGGCTGTCCCGGTCCTGGGGACCTCGGGGACACCTCGGGGACACGGGCGGGTGGCAGCGCTGTGTCCCCTCTCTGTCCCCTCTGTGTCCTTTTCTTGGGGGGAAAAATTCCATTTTTGGGGGAAAAAATCGGTTTTTTTGAGGAAAAATTCCTTTTTGGGGGGAGAAATTCCTTTTTTGGGGGGTAAAATTCCCTTTTTCGCGGGGCTCGGTCTGGAGGCAGAAAATTCCCTTTTTCGCGGGGCTAAAAATCGCTAGTTTTGGGAAAAGTTTCCTTCTTTGGGGGTAAAATTCCTTTTTCAGGGAAAAAAATCCCTTTTTTGGGGGGAAAATTTCCTTTTTGGGGGGGGAAATTTCTCTTCTTGGGGGAAAATTTCATTTTCTGGGGGAAAATTCTTTTTTTGGGGGGAAAATTAAATTTTTATGGGGCTAAAAATCGCTATTTTTGGGAAAATGTTCCTTTTTGGTGGTAAAATTCCTTTTTTGGGGGAAAATTCCTTTTTTAGGGGGCTAAAAATCGCTATTTTAGGGAAAAGTTTCCTTTTTTGGGGATAAAATTTCCTTTTTTGGAGGAAAAAAATCCCTTTTAGGGAAAAAATTTCCCTTTTTAGGGCACTAAAATTTGCTATTTTTGGGAAAATGTTCCTTTTTGGGAATAAAATTTCCTTTTTTAGGGGGAAATTCCTTTTTTAGAAGGCTAAAAATCCCTATTTTTGGGAAAAATTTCCTTTTTTGGGGGTAAAATTTCCTTTTTGGGGGTAAAATTCATTTTTTGGGAAAATATCCTTTTTGGGGGACAAAAATCCGTATTTTGGGGGGTAAAATTTCCTTTTTTGGGAAAATATCCTTTTTGGGGGACAAAAAATCCCTTTTCTTGGGAGATAAAACCCCTTTTTGGGGTTAAATTGCATTTTTCTGGGTAAATTTTCCTTTTTTGGCGGAAAAATTCCTTTTATGGGGTAAAAAAACCTGGTTTTGGGAGGGAAAAATTCCCTTTTTTGGGGGAAAAATTCCTTTTTTTGGGATAACTATCCCCTTTTTGGGGGAAAAATCCCTTTTTTGGGGTCGGGGGTCCCGAATTTGGGGTTGGGGTCCCGATTTGGGTTTGGGGGGTCGCGATTTTGGGGGTCCCGATTTTGGGGCTCCCGATTTTGGGGTCGGGGGTCCCGATTTTGGGGTCGGGGGGGTCCCGATTTTGGGATTTCTCCCAATTTTGGGGGGAATACCCAGGTTTGGGGTTGGGTTATCCCGGTTCGGGTCGGGTTATCCCGGTTCGGGGGGGTTATCCCAGTTCAGGGGGGGTTATCCCGGTTTGGGGCGGGGTATCCCGGTTCCGGACAGGAATGGGGACAACCGGGTCAGGAATTGGGGACAGGGACAGGGATGGGGACAGGGACAGGAACAAGGGGGCAGGGGAGGGGACAGCAGGGACAGGGGTGGGGACAAGGGACAGGGATGGGGACAAAGGACAGGGACAGGGTCAGGAATGAGGCGGGGACAGGGACAGGAATGGGGACAGGGACAAGGGGCCAGAAGGCCGTCACGGCTCCCGGCCCGCCTGTCCCCACCCAGCGCCACCCCCGCTGTCACCCGGCTGCCACCGCGGCTGTCCCGGTCCTGGGGACCTCGGGGACACCTCGGGGACACGGGCGGGTGGCAGCGCTGTGTCCCCTCTCTGTCCCCTCTGTGTCCTTTTCTTGGGGGGAAAAATTCCATTTTTGGGGGAAAAAATCGGTTTTTTTGAGGAAAAATTCCTTTTTGGGGGGAGAAATTCCTTTTTTGGGGGGTAAAATTCCCTTTTTCGCGGGGCTAAAAATCGCTAGTTTTGGGAAAAGTTTCCTTTTTTGGGGGTAAAATTCCTTTTTTGGGGAAAAAAATCCCTTTTTTGGGGGGAAAATTTCCTTTTGGGGGGGAAAATTTCTCTTTTTTGGGGGAAAATTTCATTTTCTGGGGGAAAATTCTTTTTTTGGGGGGAAAATTAAATTTTTATGGGGCTAAAAATCGCTATTTTTGGGAAAATGTTCCTTTTTGGTGGTAAAATTCCTTTTTTGGGGGAAAATTCCTTTTTTAGGGGGCTAAAAATCGCTATTTTAGGGAAAAGTTTCCTTTTTTGGGGATAAAATTTCCTTTTTTGGAGGAAAAAAATCCCTTTTAGGGAAAAAATTTCCCTTTTTAGGGCACTAAAATTTGCTATTTTTGGGAAAATGTTCCTTTTTGGGAATAAAATTTCCTTTTTTAGGGGGAAATTCCTTTTTTAGAAGGCTAAAAATCCCTATTTTTGGGAAAAATTTCCTTTTTTGGGGGTAAAATTTCCTTTTTCGGGGTAAAATTCCTTTTTTGGGAAAATATCCTATTTTGGGGACAAAAATCCGTATTTTGGGGGGTAAAATTTCCTTTTTTGGGAAAATATCCTTTTTGGGGGACAAAAATCCGTATTTTGGGGGGTAAAATTTCCTTTTTTGGGAAAATATCCTTTTTGGGGGACAAAAAATCCCTTTTCTTGGGAGATAAAACCCCTTTTTGGGGTTAAATTGCATTTTTCTGGGTAAATTTTCCTTTTTTGGCGGAAAAATTCCTTTTATGGGGTAAAAAAACCTGGTTTTGGGAGGGAAAAATTCCCTTTTTTGGGGGAAAAATCCCTTTTTTTGGGAGATAAAACCCCTTTTTGGGGTTAAATTGCATTTTTCTGGGTAAATTTTCCTTTTTTGGCGGAAAAATTCCTTTTATGGGGTAAAAAAACCTGGTTTTGGGAGGGAAAAATTCCCTTTTTTGGGGGAAAAATTCCTTTTTTTGGGATAAATATCCCCTTTTTTGGGGGGGGAAAATCCCTTTTTTGGGGTCGGGGGTCCCGAATTTGGGGTTGGGGTCCCGATTTGCAGGGGGGTTATCCTGGTTCAGGGAGGGTTATCCCGGTTCCGGGGGGTTATCCCGGTTTCGGGAGGGTTATCCCAGTTCAGGGGGGTTATCCCGCTTCAGGGGGGTTTATCCTGTTCCTGGGGGCTGTTCCCCGTTCTCCCGGTCCGGGACCGGCAGTCCCGGTTCTAGGGGGCAATTCCCGACCCGGGATCGCCTGTCCCGGTCCCTGACCGGCTGGCCCGGTTCTTGGGGGCAGTTCCCGACCCGGGATCCCCTTCTCCCGGTTTATCCCGGTCCGGAATCCTTTCTCCCCCTCGGCTCCGGTTTATCCCGGTCCGGGATCCCTTCTCCCGCCCCGTTCTGTCCCGTCCCATCTCCCGGGATCTTTCCCCCTTTCCCCCTTTCCCCCCGGTTTCTCCCGCTCCGCTCGAGTTTATCCCGCTCCGGAATCCCTTCTCCCGGTTTCTCCCGGTCCCGAATCCCCTCTCCCGCTCCGATCCGGGCTGTCCCGGTCCGGAATCCCCTTCTCCCGGTTTATCCCGCTCCGGAATCCCTTCTCCCGCCCCGGTCGAGTTTATCCCGGTCCGGGATCCCTTCTCCCGGTTTATCCCGGTCCAGTCGGGGCTGTCCCACTCCGGTCCGGTTTATTTCTCCCCCTCCGCTCCGGTTTATCCCGGTCCGGGATCCCTTCTCCCGCCCCGTTCTGTCCCGTCCCATCTCCCGGGATCTTTCCCCCTTTCCCCCCGGTTTCTCCCGCTCCGCTCGAGTTTATCCCGCTCCGGAATCCCTTCTCCCGGTTTCTCCCGGTCCCGAATCCCCTCTCCCGCTCCGATCCGGGCTGTCCCGGTCCGGAATCCCCTTCTCCCGGTTTAGCCCGCTCCGGAATCCCTTCTCCCGGTTTATCCCGCTCCGGAATCCCTTCTCCCGCCCCGGTCGAGTTTATCCCGGTCCGGGATCCCTTCTCCCGGTTTATCCCGGTCCAGTCGGGGCTGTCCCGCTCCGGTCCGGTTTATCCCGGTCCGGAACCCCCTTCTCCCGCTTTGTCCCGCTCCGGTCCCAGTTTATCCCGGTCCAGGATCCCCTCTCCCGCTCTGCTCGGGGCTGTCCCGGTCCGGAATCCCTTCTCCCGGTTTATCCCGCTCCGGGACGGGCTGTCCCGGTTCTTAGGGGCAGTTCCCGGTCCGGAATCCCCTTCTCCCGGTTTATCCCGGTCCAGTCGGGGCTGTCCCACTCCGGTCCGGTTTATCCCGGTCCGGAATCCCCTTCTCCCGCTTTGTCCCGCTCCGGGCTCCCCTCTCCCGCCCCTGTCCGGTTTATCCCGGTCCCTGATCCTCTTCCCCCGCTTCTTTTCGGTTTATCCCGGTCCGGAATCCCCTGTCCCGTTTGGGCCCGGTTCTGTCCCGGTCATTTCGGGGCTCCCCTGTTCCGCCTCTGTCCCGGTTCTGTCCCGGTCATGTCGGGGCTCCCCTGTCCCGGTTCTGTCCCGGTTCTGTCCCGGTCATTTCGGGGCTGTCCCACCCCTCTCCTGCTCTGTCCCGGTTCTGTCCCGGTCATTTCGGGGCTCCCCTGCTCTGTCGGGTTTCTCCCGCCCCTGTCCCGGTCCGGAATCCCCTCTCCCGCCCCTGTCGGGTTTCTCCCGCCCCTGTCCCGGTTGTGTCCCGGTTGTGTCCCGGTCCTCTCGGTACCTTGCGCAGCTCCTGCTCGATCTCCAGGGCGCGCACGACGATGGGCCCGCGCACCGCGTACTCCACGCGGCGGATGGCGGGGTTCATCGACTCGGGGCTCAGCACCGGGCCCCGCCGCGCCCCGCCCGCCCCGGCCGCCGCCGAAATTGCCCCAAATTGCCCCAAATTCCCCGCTCACATCGCCCCCCAGCGGCTGCAACCGCCGCCCGCGCCGGCCACGCCCCCTTGGATGTCAATCAGGAGAGGCCACGCCCACTGAGAGCTGATTGGCTGAGGGCGGAGGGGGCGGGGCCGGGAGAACCCAAAGTGGGGCGCGGGGGGGGCGAAATGGGGAACCCTAAAACCCCCCCAAAATGGGGGGGTCCCAAAGACACCAAACGAAAATGAGGGGACCCCAGAGAGCCCCAAAATTGAGGGGACGTCGTAGATCCCTCCCAAAATATGGAGACCCCAGAATCAACCAAAATTGGGGAAGCAGGCAGACCCTGCCCATTACAGACCCCAAAATCCCCAAAAAATCCCCATTAGAGAACCCATAAATCCCCAGTGCAGACCCCATAA